CTAATCCCCTCCCCTCCCCTCACGTTGTTGCTGCTTTTGGTCACGCAGGTGCACGGACGCGTCCCTGCTCCTCTTAGCAACTGCTGCAGGTGGACGAGGCACGAGCCCTCATGGCTCCTCCCTCCTCCTACCCTCCTGAACCTGGTGAGCTCCACCCCCTCTTCTTACCCCTGCACATCTATCTTATCTAGCCAATTCTCAGATTTAGCTAGGTTCCAAAAACCTACATTTATATATATCACTGCAAACTAATGTGCTCCAGGCTTTAGTGTTTTATTTTGATGGACCAATGTGCATCTTCTCCGAGACAGAAAATTAGGGGGAGTGATAGCTCTTGGATAGTATAGCCATTATGATAGAATAATAAATAAAACTGTCGATTAATGGCTTATTGCACTGGTCTTAATAATAGAATTTCAGCATTGTAAGAACACCCAAACATGCTCGTGGAAGCAATCTGAGGCTTTCAGCCGATGCTTGGACCATATTACGAGCCTTCCTATTTGCGTAGAATACCTTTGCTGAAACTATGCATTCAACAGATAATACCTGCACTGGATAGTCTAATATGTGGCGTACCACTTCACTATCGATATTGTCTTACACTTCTTAATTCTACACTACATTGTATCATTGTTAAACAGACTATGCAATTTCTTCTAGCACCTGCGCCGTTGGATGGATGGTGTTTACGGAAGAATAGAGGTCTTCCCGCAGCACTTCACGCCCGAGAAAGAGCCCATGGACGGTGCTGATGGTCTGTCCACAAGTAAGAGCAACATGGATCCGTCACCAAGGTGATGATACTCATGGCAGAACGAACAATGGCTGTCAAAGGCTTGTTTAATTTTCAACCTCTTCCTTTAATTCTGGGTGTACTGACACGCTTAGCTTGCTGTTCCTGTCCTGTAATAAACAGTCCACGTAGGCGTTCTTGGACCCCGAAACGAGTCAAGGGAGTTTATCGCTTCTGCAACTGTTGTCTATTCCTTGCATTAGGTGGTCTTCCAGCAACAAGGATGATGACAAGGTTACAATGTTTTCTAACTATATCGGACCTCTGTTTCTGTCATGTATCACGAATCCTGTCTTACAAGTACACCGACGGTTTTCACTGTTATCAGACCGAATTGACAAGAGCTGAAGTAGAATCATTACGAAGCGAAATTGCCGATGCCGATGAAAGGGTGTCCCAGCTAAAAGCCCGGTATGATGAAGTACCCCTTCAACATTCAGCCTCAACGTTTGTGTGGATTTTCACCTGAACCTAAGTGTCTATTTATATTCAGTGTTTTGTTCTCCGTCAGATGTGATTCATACAGTTTAGCATTGCAGGTTAGAAAATATTGACGAAGCCTTGAGATATGCACTCCTTTCCGGGTACCTCCATATCAGAAGTGTACGTAAGAAACCAGTGCACTTTTGTTTGCTTGCCCCCAAAACAGCTTCATTTGTGTGACAGCTGTTCAACAGACTGGTGACTCTAAATGATCTCTTGTGCGTTGCAGAGATGGACTCAACTTCCTGGGGAGCCACCTATCATAGACGACGCCGATGTCGATGACTGGCTTCCTCGTTTTGTTGTCCTACAAGGACAGTGTTTATACTACTATCTGAAGTGTACTGGTAAGATGAAGCTTTTGACATACCGGTCATGGTCATCCAATCACATTAATACGTTGCACTACTGCTCTTTCTTGACATGCTGAACCTGAATCCATGTAATCAAGTTACAGATGAATACACACCATACTTGCTCACTAGACACTAAAAACCACATTTCTCATGGTGGCGTGTTCTTTGCCATACTGAACCTTAATCACATTTCACTTGGTGATGTGTTCTTTGTCATACTGAACCTGAATCAGATTTGTCTTTGAATTGCTGCAATACATTAAGTTGGCACGAACAGTTCTATTTAAAGATATACTATCCGAGGCGTGAAAAAGAAGATGGCATAGGTTGATAGTCTAGCTGTTTTATAATCCCTTTTATTGAGATCAGATGAAGTTTAGTCTGGTCTTGCTCTCAATTTCTCTGCATTGTTTGGTATCCAATTTAGCGTTAGGTTTCAGATAGCGGAGTATTTGATGAGTGGCACACATGAGCATGATGAGCGGCACACATGAGCACATATGGTTCTGCACACACAAGGAAACTTGCTTCTCTGCACACACACACACACAGGGACATACACATATTTTTTAGGTACTCACAAACATGAAAGAAGATGAGGGATGGCAAATGCCTGCTCGTCATGAAGCATATCAGCATGTGGATTAATAAATAGAAGGGGAAGGAAACTTGCTTCTCTGCGTTTTTATTATAGTTTAAAAGGGCAAATTGTCAACATTCTAAGTGTTAGGAAAGAAACCTACACACTCCATGTGTAAGTATGTGCTTCAGATTAATGCTCTGAAAGTATTTAACTTGCTTACTAATAATCCACACTCGAATATATTAATAATCACACAAAAGTAGATAGGCCATGGCTAGCAGCAAATGTATATGTCAATTTATGATCTTTTTTACATGATAATAACACTATCAGCATGCTAATTATATGTGTGGAATTTAGAGTTATCACCATGTGACTGTGTGAGTATTGTCACAAGTTATGATTATACCAACCTACAATTTTTACTCATTCTATAAAATGACCATGTGAACACCCACTTTATACGAAGCCACAAAGACTATGAAGTTGTGTTCTATTACAGATCTATGTGATTAGTTTTAGATAGTTGTATTAATGAACACACTCATATTTTTCAATTAGCCCTCCTAGCTAAAACCACCAACAATTAAATCAATGTGATGCTTCTACTGTTTTTTCAGAGACTCGCAGTTAAACAAGAGGAATTAGATGCTGGTGTTGATGTTAATGTTAACTACATAACTCAAGTTGATGCTAACTATATAACTCAAGTTGATGCCAGCAACGATGTTGATAGTAACCCTCTGCCTCAAGTTCTATATTAGAAAAAATACTAATGGTATGTTTTCATGTAAATTGGCAGAGGCGAACCTTGTGTCTGCCACATCGATGAGTTTAGTGGCTATTGTGTGTGGTGGAATAGAGTCAAGTTATATAATCACAATACCCATAACCTACGGAAGATAATCAAAAACAAGAAAACACCCAACTATTATTATGTCTTCCACATGGCGGAGACCTTTGCAACCCCTGGGAAAAGAATGGTAACCTTTTAGAAATACTTTGTTGTATTTCATTCACTAATATGCAGCAAACTCATATGTTGATCAAGTTTTTTTCTCACCTGCAGTGCTTTAATGAATTTTCATGTAATAAATAGAGAATCAGGGTATTATAACCCCTTTCTGCTTCTGCCTATTCAATTTGTTGGCCACTTAAAAGTATACATGGATCCTTGTCTTTCTCATTTTAATCATCTAGGTTCCAATTATTTCTTCTAGCCTGCTCATGCCTTTAGGCTTACACTATATTAATTCTTCCGCGCATACCATCTAAAATATGCAGGTAAAAACACAAGATATATATATATATATATATAAATATATATATATATATATAAGTTAAAATCAATACAGGTAAACCCACTCAGATATAATATTTCTCACGCGCATCACTTCTTTTACCTCGGTAGTAGAAAAACAGCGGCAAACACAACGCTCTCACTTATTTTTGTACATTTTTCCTATTTTTTAGTACAGTTTTTCCTAGAAAGAAGTAATTTTTCCTCTCACAAGCGCATGAATCATTTTTGATCCGACGACTCGGATCTGTTCATCACAGGATCAAACAGCATTTGTGTTCTATTGCATAAGTGTGTCAACTGCTTAACTGATTCATGTCCTGGTTGTTATTGGGAACTTGTGTGGTTTATTTAAATATTTCAGTATCACAAGTATAACATCATGAATCCTGTATTTTGCAGGCTACTGCCGCTGATAATGACGATGACAACAATGGTGACCTTTTTGGAGAGCATGCTGCCAAAGTGAAGGGTTCTTGCAAGAAGAAAGAATGTATGTTATCCTACATTCTTTGTATTTTACAGTCTCATTTGTAACTTTCCTGTATTAGTTATCTTGCTGGTGTCATGTGTTGAATTTCCACAATCGTGTAATCCAGACTTGCTAATGGTTTGTATTTTTCCATTTTATGGCAGATGACTGCATAATTTTACCATGTAATTTCTTCTCTTTTATCGATGGAGGAGGTGGTCAGAAGATTCAATTATTCTTAAACTCCTCCACTTCTTCTGCAAAAGTTTGGTGATTTTTCCAAGGGGGCCGATCAGAGGATCTACTCAACTGAGGTATATCTCACAATCTTAATGTGAAGTTTAATGTGTTTTATAGCTATCCAAAATATGTCGATGAACTGGTTCTTATTATCTTACCTAAATAGCTTGAGCTCGAGCTAAGACGTATTTGTTCTTGCTTGCTTTTTCTGTTGCTGATATTCAGGCCTAACGTCACCGAACTTTGCTACATCTTACATTGTGAGAAATAGCAAAATAAGTATTGTATTAAACATTAGTAAGTCAGTCTACAATGGTTGTGTAACATCCCATCATTCAGTTTGCCAGATACTAAATTTATGTTTTTGCAATCAAAAGTATTCTTCTGATTCCCCATAAGCCTCAGCTCATCACGGAAGCATGTTCAGAGTTCGTTTGCGATTCACTTCACCACTTCCTTATGCAACTCTATCCAGCGGTGACGTGTTGGTGGTTGGCCCCTTTCGCCGCCGTACCCATCTTGTCGTTCATGTCACTTGATGATGTAAACCTGGTGTCTTTTAATCCTTTTCCATAAACCAGGCCCTCGGGAGTTTATTGCAAGCCCGGTTCCACCATACTATAATGCAAGGCTGGTTTTTATTTCTTCATTTATTCTTTTTGGTGAGCAGGCGAGCTAATTTGACCATTCCTCTATCTGTTTCATCAACTAGATGCTTTAAAGGATTTGAATGGAGTTTATTGTGCGAACCCCTACTTCATGCAGTGGGCTTGACTGGATCTTGTGGTTTTCTTGCCAGAGACTCCCTGCGCCACCATGGTTTTATGTGTACTACCTCTGCAGTGGAAACTTCTGCTACAATGTGCATCGACACCAGAGCCATGTTCCCTATCATGCTATGGTGCTTAGCATCATCATGTATTTCCATTCGGTGTAGTTGAGGGCTCCCAAAGTTTGTGTTTCCAAATGATACCTCATTTTTCTCTTATTTGTATTGTTTCACATAGTTTTCCACTACAGGGATAAAGAGCTATAGAAATTTATGTAATTTAGCTCCGGTAAATGATGCTAAACTGTAATGTCTTAAAAATATGCTTCCTAGCCACTCACATGGCTACGTGGTATTTACTTTCAGGAATCTGGATAGACTAAGACTGATGGTAAGATTTGATGGTTATCCAAGTAGTTACCTAATACTCCCTCCGTTCCGAATTACTTGTCGCAGATATGGATGTATCTAGATGTATTTTAGTTCTAGATACATCCATTTCTGCGACGAGTAATTTGGAACGGAGGGAGTAGCACTTAGTATTAGCTCTTCCCCAATCATATCATATACAGGTAGTCTATAGTTCTATATTCAAGATGGTTGCTGCACCCTTTTGGCCACTATGGTATGTAAGGTCAGGTTGCATTAGTCTATGTTAGGATAAACTGGCTAACATATCAGTGATGTAAAGTCGCTTCATGTGTACTTTATGTAACCTCGGACATGTGTACAACCTATCACATGTCCATGTTGTTCTTTCCATACACAACTTTTCCATGTGCGGTCTTAAATACAACTTGGTCTCACACCTATACCTGAGAGCTCTCTCAAGTACAAATAAACAGGAAACTATATGCTGAAAAGTGTGGTGATATTTTCAGTTACTAAATTTACTGAATTTGTGATCCCAATATTGCCAGCAGAATAGTGAAATGACAGGGATTGCTCTATAGCAAATTTGCAGTGTCCTTGAACTTTGTGATGTTTCCTAGGGCAACTGGTCTGGTCCAAACTAATAAATGCATGGGTTTTCATGTTATGTTCCATGTAAGAAGTTGATCTATGTTTCTTATGTATTTGCCTTTAGCTCTCTTGTTCATTGCATTGTTGCTTGCTGATGTTCTTACATTATTTTCTGATCGCTTTATTACCGGGTTGAGAATGACTGCACCCGCAGGGGTGCAGCAAGCCGCACTTCTTACCTGTTGTACAGTCAACAGAGGAGCGCCGGAGAGAGAACCCATTGGATGCAGAAGCCTGAAGGAGTCCATATAGTGCAGGCTGGTCAAGCGTGAGGTTAGTAGCATGCAAACTACTAACTAGCTATTGTGATTAGGGATACCTGTCAGTTAACTCCTTGTTCGTGCAAGCTAACCTAATTGATTACTTAGTAGCTACATAATGGTATGTTTTAACTTTAGAATGAGAGTAATCACTAGAGGATTGGATTCATGGTTGCAATATTTAATTTCTATTAATTTGCTTTTATATATTATGAACTTCAGTTTCTTTATATGCCAAAACAAAATCGCCAATTTGGAAACCTGTCAGTTTTAAATAATTAGGCATATAATAAGGTGAAAAGAGTGGTAACAATAAGATTACTGCATGATGTACAGAGTTCAGGTTATCACACCATATGAAGTGAAAGCGCCGTTGGGACTGTTTGCGGTGCATAGAACTTCCATGGCAGCACGGGCGATTCCAAGGCCCACTTGAGCTCCTCCTGCTGATGCCAGACGGTGAGGTTTCTCAACCTCCACTCTATTAGCCATGTAAGATTGCTTTGCTAGAGATCATTTATTTCTTGCCATCCATTCGTTATAAACTTGATTCTTCGTCACGAATGGATCCTTAATTATGTGTGTCATGTTGTTTCCCTGAAAACGGACGATCGAGTCACATTTCTTATTTTCTGTTGTGAGTTGAGGAGCTTGCGGTTTTAAAAGTATGTCTCAGTTGTAAGAATGTGGAAATGATGGACAGGTAGCAGTTTTTTTATATTTTCTGTTTATATCCAATATTAAGTAGTTATTAACTCCATGGCACAGGACTGTACTTTTTGTAGATGTAGTAGCTTTTGATTTCCATTTAGTTATGGCTTTATCTCCGCCTTTACATACTGATTAGGATTTCCATTTAGTCAGGGTCACAAAGTCTTTGTGCCAGGTTTCTTCCCTTTGTAAATGTGAAAGCGGCTTGTCCGATCTATTCACAGACTTGCTCTGCTGCTTTGTAGCCCAACTGATTATGTACTCTTGATCGTCCTCATGGCATCTGTCAACTCCATTGTGAATCGTCTCTTTATCTTAAGGCTGTACTCGCTATGCTAGAATGATAGATGATATAGTAAATACATCTTTTCTTTTTACAAGGCTCATATCGTAAGGAATGTCGTGTACTGTAAACCAAGTTCAGTACGTTGTCTATTACATATTGAGAAAATTCCTTATTCGACACTATCTTAAAATCTACTTCCTTATTTGACATTGGAAAAAAATTCTTCCCTAATTGACACAAGTTCTAAATTTTATTCCCTATATGACATTTTCGTTCATTTTAAGCCTAAATGACATCTGAAAAGACTCTTTTGCCCCTCATGTGATA